CTGCAGCTGTCATTGTTGTTTTGGCAGACCCTACCTGGATTCGAACCTGCCACCTTAGGTGTATGTGGCTGGTGCCTTAGCCACTTGAGCCACAGGCGCCGAGCCCTTCTTTGATTTTTTTTGAGACAGAGTCTCACTCTGTCACCCATGTTAGAGTGCCGTGGTCATAGCTCACAGCAACCTCAAACTCCTGGGTTCAGGCAATCCTTTTGCCTCAGCCTCCAGAGAAGCTGGAACTACAGGCACCTGCCACAATGCCAGGCTAGTTTTTCAACTTTTAGTAGAGACGGGTCTTGATCTTGCTTAGGTTTGGCCTCCCAGAATGCTAGGGATTATAGGTGCAAGCCACCATGCCCAACTCCAGCCAACTTCTTAGTGCCAGTCTCAAACCAGGACAGCCTCTCAAACCAGTAAAACACGGGCCTGTCATCAGGAAGTGAGGTGGTGGAGAGAGTGGAGGGCAAGAAAGCCATTCAGGGATTCATGAACTCTTACTAATCAATTCCTTGTCCCCAGAGAAGAGAATTGATGATAAATTCCAACAGAGTTGTTGTTAAAGTAAATAATTAATGGGCTTGGGGACTCAGAATATGGCTTCAGGAGAAAAGGCTAGAATTAATTCCTAGGGATCTATTTTCTCCCTCAGGTTTACAGCCTAAGTGACTACTTCAAGTCTTGTCAACCCTGTTCCACCATGACCCACTGGATCCCAAAGAATGAAATTCATGAAAGACCTTATTTCTTTTCTTTTCTTTTTTTGAGACAGAGTCTCAGTTTATCACCCTCAGGAAAGTGTCTTGGTGTCACAGCACATAGCTACCTCAACCTCTTGGGCTTAAGTAATTCTCTTGCCTCAGCCTCCCTAGTAGCTCAGACTACGGGCACTGGCCACAATGTCCAGCTAGTTTAGAGATGAGGTTTTGCTCTGGCTCAGGCAATCTACTCAGCTTGGCCTCCCAGAATGCTAGGATTACAGGAGTGAGCCATTGTGTCTGGCCCTGAAGGACCCTATTTCTGATCCCAGATCCCCAATGGCTCCAGACCCTGACAGGAAGCCTTGGTTTCCCAGGGATATTCATCCTCCTCCCTGGCCTCAGCACGTGCACCCTGGATGCCTGCTGGAGGCTGGACTTTGGGGAACATGGGGACATAATTGAGTAAGGCACTCGCTGCTCTGTGGGACTGATCCGTTACCAGATAGCTTTTGATGGCTTTTCAAGAGAAATCAGAAACCTGCATTTATGTGAAACCATTGAAAGGCTGGTTATGGTGGCCAGGGCGGTAATCCCAGTGCTTTGGGAGGCTGAGAAGAGAGGATCACTTGAGCCCAGGAATTCAAGGCTATGGTGAGTGAGCTGTGATCAGGACAACTGCACTGCAGCCTTGACGGCAGAGGGGGAACCTGTCTTTAAGAAAAAATAAGAGGCTTGGCGCCTATAGCTCAACTGGCTAAGGCGCCAGCCACGTACACCTAAGGTGGCGGGTTCGAATCCCCAGCCCGGACCCGCCAAACAACAATGACGGCTGCAACCAAAAAATAGCCGGGTGTTGTGGCGGGCGCCTGTGGTCCCAGCTACTTGGGAGGCGGAGGCAGGAGACTCGCTTGAGCCCAGGAGTTGGAGGTTGCTGTGAGCTGTAATGCCACAGCACTCTACCCAGGGGGACAGCTTGAGGCTCTGTCTCAAAAAAAAAAAAAAAAAAATAAGAAACTTCTGGTTTTTAAATCTTAGCAATTCATGTTTTAATATTAATATATACAGGCAATTCAATGGAAACAAGTCTTCCCGTCAAACAACGGGAACCTGTATGCTCCCTCGTTTGTTGGGCAGAGTGCCTGCCAGAGGCTTTGCACATGGTGGGCTTGCTCTGTCTCCTCACCTCATTATTCACTCCATGAAAAGGGAATACCAAATAAATGTTGGCTACTGTTATTATTCCAAGCCCAGTGGCCTTTCTGGAGCATGGGCTTATATTTATTTATTGCCAGAAAATATGGTGTGATCTTAACCCGGAGAACTTTGAAATGCTCATGTTTCCTTTGACGTTCATGTAACTCCCTAGGGAGACAGTGCTGTCTGCACTTCTCACTTCTTAGCTGCTCCTCAGTGGGGGACTCTGTCCAGACCGCAGCAGTGGGCTGCACCCTGAGTAAGGGGCTTCTAGGGTAATGCCAGCCTGGCTGTAGATCCACTTGCCCTTCCGCTGGCCTGTTCTTCTAGTGCTCACATAATTGACTGTGGCATTAATTCTCCATTCTTCCATTAATTGCCAATATGCCTATAAAAGAACACTGGTTATCCATGCTGGAAATTGTTCTTCCTAGACCTAATGCAAAATACGAGCACTAAAAGGATCCCTCATCCAACCTGTGTTGCGAAGTGGTGAGAGTAAATACCCAATGTGTTGGCGGACAGTGACCCCCTGTGGCCTTATTACCATACATTCATATCTGACTCAACTGTCAGCCAAGGGGAAGAAACATCAGTGTTTATGCAGCGGCTCTCACCTCCTTCCCTGGGGAAATATTTTTAAAAACACTAAAGAGCCCAGGAATCAAACCCTTGCTGTATGGTCAATTGAAAGGGAAGGCTAATGGCGCCTGTGACTCAGTGAGTAGTGTGCTGGCCCCATACACCCGAGGGTGGCAGGTTCAAATCCAGCCCTGGCCAAACTGCAACAAAAAATAGCCAGGTGTTGGGCAGGCAGCCGTGGTCCCAGCTTCTTGGGAGGCTGAGGAAAGAGAATTGCCTAACCCCAAGAGCTGGAGATTGCTGTGACCTGTGACTCCAAGGCACTGGCACTCTACCAAGGGTGACAAAGTGATACTCTGTCTCTTAAAAAAAAAAAGGGAAGGCCTTTACCTTCAGGACAGAGTGCTCACTATGTCACCCTTGGTAGAGGTCTGTGGCATCAAAGTTCACAGCAAGCTCAAACTCTTGGGCTTAAGCAGTTCTCTTGCCTCAGCCTCCCAAGTAGCTGGGACTACAGGTGCCCACCACAATGGGTATTTTCTTGTAGTTGCTGTTGTTTGGCAGGCCTGGGCTGGGTTTGAACTCGCCAGGTCTATGTGGCTGGCACCCTAGCTGCTTAGCTACAGGTGCTGAGCTGTACCTTTTGTTTTATTTATTTATGACAGTCTCACTCTGTTGCCCTGGGTAGACACCACTCCAGAAAAAAACCTTTGACAAAGAAATTGTTGAAATAAAAGGTATTTTATTTTCTTTTCTTTTTTTTTTTTTTTGAGACAGAGCCTCAAGCTGTCCCCCTGGATAGAGTGCCATGGCATTACAGCTCATAGCAACCTCCAACTCCTGGGCTCAAGCGAGTCTCCTGCCTCTGCCTCCCAAGTAGCTGGGACCACAGGCGCCCGCCACAACGCCCGGCTATTTTTTGGTTGCAGCCATTATTGTTGTTTGGCGGGTCCGGGCTGGGGATTCGAACCCGCCACCTTAGGTGTACATGGCTGGCGCCTTAGCTGGGTGGGGGTGGTTGAGCTATAGGCGCCGAGCCGGTATTTTATTTTCTAATGAAATGTACCTACAGCCAACAGATTATTGAAGGGTGAAACATCTGGGGCTTTCCTACTGTGAGCTCTAGGGTAGAACTGATCCTTTTTTTTTAATCAGAGAGGAGACTCACTTTCAAACTCCTGGCCTCAGGCAATCTTCCTGCCTCAGACCCTCTAAAGGAGAGCCTGGCATTAAATCCCTTCTCCATTTGCTAAACTGTAGGCCCAGTCTCCTTCAGCTGCCAGAGAATGTTCTTTCACCCAGCCTCTGCACCCATCTGTTCCTCTGAGACTCACTTGCTACATGTACTTTCATCAAGTCACCCTGTTTTCCTGTCTCAAAGGTAAGTTCCTTAAGGGTGGGATCAGCAGCGCCTCCATGGCATGACTGCAGCTCCAGCAGCTGTTGGGCCTCACATTTGTTCAGCAGTCATCAACATTAACACTCAGATGTCTATGGCAGAGCCATCAGCTTCAGAGGGCACCTTGCACATAGGAAGAGGCCACCAGGTTGTTTCTTGGTCTTTGGAGTTTTCAGAAAATGAGCTCAGCTCAGCTATTCCCAGGTAAGTACATTCAGTAATGGACTAAATATAAAACAGAACAGAAAAGGTCCTCTCTCTCTAGAGCTCACTTGTTTCATACTTATGGACATTTGCCCTGGAAGATGGTCCAGGTTGTCATCATTCTCAAATGAGAACTGTGACCCCACAAGAATTAAGAACCACTGCACTGGCTACTCAAGAGGATGAGTTGGGAAGACAGCTTACAGCTAGGAGCTAGGAGCTAGGAGCTAGATGTTGTCTTAAACAAAACAAAACAACTGTACTGGAGGAACTGCTTTTTTTTTTTTTAGTAATTTTGTAAAGCTTAAAAAATTACTTGCTTTCCACTAAGGGATCTCAACTGTTGCTTTTTTAATGTGAGCATTTTTTAGAAAGTAATAACTTTCTCAACTTTTCCTACCCTGGAAAGTCAAAAATTATATTTTAAATGACTTTATGAATATTTTCTTTTTCAAAAATTTAAATCGTTAACTAGAAGAAATATTCTAGAAACATTTATAGTACAAACAGAAGTTAGGATTAGAGGTGAAGCTGCTTCTGTCATTCAGCTTTAAGTACAAACCTAGCTCCAAAGTGGATATATCCTTTAACTGGCTGGCACTGGGCTTCTTACTAGAGCTCCAGGCCGGCCTGATAACTACGGTACTTCCAGCGAGCGGTCAGGGGCGGGTGGCAGGTACTGCCACCTCAGCAGTGTCCTTCACCCTAGGGGATGAGTGCTAATGATGAACCACTTTTGTCTTATTTCAAAAACAGGAATATAATAAACATTTCATTCAATAAATCAGTTCCAGTTAACTTATTATCTCTTAGAAGACCTAGGAGGAAATGAAGTGAGAAAACTACTTTAAAGAATCGTGACATCCTAGTGAGGAACAGGACACACAAGGCAATGAAAAGGTATAATTTAAATGTAACACAAGAAGAAAAGTAAAATGACTGTCATTTATTGCTGTTTCTATCCTTTCCCAGCATAGCGAGAGTGTTAAGTAGCCACAAAGTGCCACCTTCTGGTTTAAAACTCTGCAACGTCTCCTTTATTTCAAATGCCATTTTATGGTGGACATAGAAAGCAACAGCAGCAGTTACAAAATGTTGTCTGAATAATTTTGAGAGCTCAAAAACAAGGATCTGTGTATAGGCTGAATAAAAAGATGTTCAGTTAACAATGTATGTTGTGTAACTTTAATAGATATCTTCAGTTGGAATTCTTGTGTAAACCTTAATAGAGATGTGACTCGCATCCTAAAATATCCTTTCCTTTTTATGATTTAGTGAGGTGGTCTGCATTCTTGCAAATGATTTACAAAGTACAAGAAATGTTGCATGTGAATAGTAGGCATAAAATATTTCATTTTTCTTACAGAAGGAGCAGCAGGGGCACAGGGAACCCAGCAGATGCCCTGCCACCACCTTTCCCAAAGATGTACACCCCAAGAACGGCAGTGGAAGCCTGGCAGCAAGCCGCCCTTACAATTCTTTTTGGTTGTTTAAAATACAAGCACTTTCTGCCATTTCCCTCCCTGGCCTATGAGCCCTACCCCAACTTGGCAGGATATAAGCCCATGTCCTCTTGCTTAGTTTCCCCCTGGAATTATTTACAGGATGCCTACAGATAGGGTACAAACTAGTATGAAATTAATGATAGTTTGCATCTCCAGACACGTTCCGTGGTTTAAATGAATATACCACGCCAATTCCAACGACTGGTTCAAAGTTAAGGTGACTCAGAAGCATTTGCATCCACAGCTGCAGAAACAGGTTTCTCGCTGGCTGAAGCGGAGTCGCTGACTCTGTCCTCAACAGTGGTGGGGGTCTTGGAACTGTGGGGTGTCATATCCATAGTGAGTGAGGTGGCAGCATCTGCCTTTGCAGTAGTCGTGACAGGATCGGAGGGTGGGCTGCCGGTGGGTGGGAGGGAAGACAGCAGCTCCACTGAGCTTGCTGCAGGAGCGCCCTCAGGAACTAGAGGGAATGACGGGAGGAACTCAGATGACATGGGGAGAGGTGCAATGCCAGGTAAGTTGCGGGGAGGCAAGGACGCAAGAGGTGGCAAACCTAGGACAAAAACGGCAAAAATCACATATCTTCCCAGCACTAAAAGAGCAGTAGTCATTGTTAAATGATTGTTATTTGCATTTCATTAAGGAAACTGAAGCTGAGGAGAGAGAGAAAACACAAATCATAACCTTTGCTTATCTCCAGTTGGAAGCCATGATAAGGTTAAGTGTTTCCTGCAATGGCTGGAAAGGAAAACAGGTTCCTCGGGCTTTGAAGCTCCATGGGACTCAGCCCAGCACTGAGGGAAGAACCACCCTTTCAGCGGGATGGACAGGCACCCGCACAACAGGCAGGGCAGCTACACTGGGTGTTAGATGGGGGACTCCTGTTCCCCAGGGCAGGCTGCAAGCTGGGTTATACCACGGAGAGATGCAGGGGCTATGCTGCACAGGGCTGCGGAAGGGAGGGGCTTGGATTTTAGTCCCTCTATGAGACTCCTCAGAGTTACCAAGCCAAAGGGTAAGCCCTGTGACTGACAACTGTTTCTGTTACACTCGATGGGCTTGTTCTGATGACTTTAAGGTGCAGAATATAGGAAAGAAGTCTTACATCAAGAAACAAAGGAAAGACACCTGTAAAACACAGGTTTGGGGCTGGTGAAACCCTTGCTCCTCTTACAGCCTATCAAATCTGGGGAGAGGGTGGAGAAGGAGTCAGAATATAGGCACAGAAGACAAGACAGCGGGAATGATCGACAGTAACTGGGAGTTTGAGTTTACTAGTACTTCTTTTGTTTTTCAAACCCTTGCACTGAAAACTAAGGTTAATAAATATATACAGATGGTGTGGGTTACAAGAGGGACAATTACAATCCAGACAGAAATGAATGCCACAATGTATATCGGGTGTTGCAAGATCACTCTGGTTAATCACTGATGCATCAAACTACTAACGATCTGGGTAATCATTAACTGTGCAAGCAGACTTGTGAGATGCTGCTGCTTCATTTCCAATGTGGACAACTGAATATCTGCTATTACAGCTATCTCTAGCTAAAATTTCTCAGTTTTGATTATAAAAACATCTGTTAATAAATAGGGAATATTGGGTGGCACCTGTGGCTCAGTGAGTAGGGCACCAGCCCCATATACCGAGGGTGGTGGGTTCAAACCTGGCCCCAGTCAAACTACAACAACAAAAAAAGGGAGTATTTATCAAATAAAAACCCAAGCTACCTGAGTAGGGGTGACAGTTGTATGCCCTAAGTTTCTTTGTCTGGGCTATATCACTTTACTCTTGGTGGCGGCTGCCTCAAATACACACAAAATACTGGGAATTCCTTCACCTCTACTGAGTGAACTGAACACCTCCATCAAAGCCAGGGCAGCAGAACCCGCCACTGTACCTTATTGCTACACTTGGCCTTTCCGGGGCTCGAACTGTCAGTATGCAGGGTGAGGAGGAGAGGCAGCCAGACCCCAGAGAATCAGAAAGACTTTCATCTTTCTGCTGAAGCTTTTTAAACAAAACAGATGAATTTATTTGAAATAGATGAAATTTGTTAAATTTGCCCTTTCTAGAAAAAACTGAACTAGAGGACTGGCTTTCCTGAACAAAGCTTTTTATTATAGAGTCCCCAAGGGTAAGATCTATAACATACCCACGTTCATGAGTTCTGATAAGCCAACCCCTGGCATGATGTGTGGTGCTGGGAGGTTGAGGTTGAGGTTGGGGAGGTTGGGGAGGTTAGGCAGTCCTGCTGGTAAAGGCATCAGACCTGAACAGAAGGCAGAAAAGAACAAAAGATAAAAATCTTCACTTGGGGAAGAAAGAAATCTTGTTTACCAAAATAACACTGTCCCTTTCAAAGTGAGAGCATCAGAAGTCCGCTTAATATGTGGCAGTTTTATAACATAATCACATTGACAAAAACAAAATCTTACTTAACTGAAATATATTCCTATACCTAAGTGATTGGATTGATAAGGTAGCTAAATGGGTAAAGGTTAAAGCAAATAGCCAATATTCCTAACACTCTGGAACAAGAAAGACCACCTTAGAGAAAAGGCTTATTTTAGCAAATATGGCAGTAAATGGAACTGAATTTTTGATGGGTAAGGTTTACAGTCTCTTGGCTTTCTTTTTGATTTTTTTTTTTTCTGAAACAGTCTCACTTTGTTGCCCTTGGTAGAGTGCTGTGACATCATAGCTTATAGCAATCTCCTCAAACTCTTGAGCTCAAGCGATCCTCCTGCATTAGCCTTCCAAGTAACTGGGACTACAGGTGTGCACCACTATTTTCCAGCTAATTTTTCTATTTTTAGTAGAGACAGAGTCTTGCTCTTCCTCAGGTTGGTCGAGAACTCAAGCAATCCACCTGTCTTGGCCTCTCAGAGTGTTAAAATTACAGGTGTGAGATACTGCACCTAGCTCTTTTAAAATTATTTTATTCTGAGGCAGCCTATAATCCTAGCACTTTGGAAGGCCCAGGCAGGTGGACTGCCTAAGCTCACTGGTTCAAGACCAGCCTGAGGCAGAGTGAGATCCAGTCTCTAAAAACAGCCAGGCATTGTGGTGTCTATAGTCCCAGCTTCTATGGAGGCTGAGGCAAGAGAATCATTTGAACTCAAGAGTTTGAGGTTGCTATGAACTGTGATGCCATAGTACTCTACTGACCACCACAAAGTAAGACTCTGTCTCAAAAAAAAAAAAAAGAAAATTTATTTTGAAATAATTGCAGACATACAGTTACAAAGGAAGTAAAACAAATCTCCACATGTTCACATTTAACCATCCTGCTTCATCATTCTCTGTGTGTACACTCTTACACTCTTAGTTCATG